GGATCTGCAGCTCCCAAGATGGGCGCTTCGAACCAGCGTGACACAGCCACCCGGCACGCTCAGCCCTGCAGCCCTGCCCCACGGCGCCCGCTGCGGTGGGGCGAGCCCCAAACTTCCCTCCCTGTGCCCAGATGCCTTTGGCATTGCTCAGGTATCCACAGCAGGAGCCAGCGCACACCACACTGCCCAGGCTGGAAGGGGCCTCTGGGGACCACCTGGTCCAGCCCCCCAGGCAAGCAGGGTCACCTGCAGCAGGGCTGTGGGGCAGGTGCCACTGCCATGGGCCCACGTGAGCATGTGGCTTACCCTGCCTTTCTCCCCAACCACCCTGGTTCCCACTCAGCACAGCTGCTGCTGAACACTCTGGAGGTTTCTCTCTGCAAGGCAGCAGAGCAGTCCTTGGGTAAATAGCCCAGGAGCCAGCAACCCACTCAAAGCAGTGGGCTGAGATGCCAGTGCTGGCCTGCTGACTCCCCAGAGTCCTGTTCCATGGGAGCAGGGCACTGGCTCCACAGAGGCAGCTCTCCTTGTCCTAAAGTGCTGGGACAGCTAAGGGAAGGCAGGAAACACTGAAAAGGGTGCAAACTCTTGGCATGTGCATAGGGCATAAATCTGGCTGCTAACTCAAAGGGCTATCCAAGCCAGAAGCTTTTCTAGAGGAAAATCTTCTACTCTCCATCACTCTGCCTGCCCAGGGATGTTCTAAACCCCCTATTCTTCTCCAAGGCCGCGCCAGCCCGTCTCTCTTATTGCCCCAAATCTATGGAGGTCAGCCTTTTCCCATCATTCCCCCCCTCCAACTCCTGCTCTGCAGCCAGCACCCTGGCAGCCTCTCCCAGCAGTGAGGCAATCGCTGCCTGCAGAGCTGGAGGGACAGCTCCTACAGTCCAAGCCGCTGCCCAGAGACAGGCAGGGGGGCTGTGTGAAGAGGAATCCCAAACGCAGCCATCTGCAGAGCCTCCAGCACCCATCCCACCACCTCCCTGGCCCTCACACTGCAGCTCACCAAGGGCCAGGGCACTGCCCCTGCCCACAGGCTCCCCAGACCCTCTCCCACCCTGCCTACCGGCACCGGCCATGGCTGCGGACGCAGAGAGCTGTGTGCTGCTGAGACACGGGCTCCGTGTGGGTTATTCTTAGCTCTGTGGCTCAAAATACTTGGGAAGGCTGTGCTCGGTAGCAGACAGGAGGTCACGCAAGCGCAGAGCAAGGAAAAATACTTCAGACCCCAGGATGGGACAGGAACCACGTGTGGCCTTGAGCAATGGGGTCTGTTGCTGACAGCCCCCCCATCCAGGCTGATGCTGATGGACACTGCAGATCCTCCACCGGGGAGGAAAGGGTGAGCAGAGACAAGCTAAACTCCTGGCACAGTTTTCCATGCCAGGCAGCATCCAACCCACGTTATGATGCTTTCCAGTATTGAAGACACCTCTGAGCCCGCCCAGGTGCCACCAGAAAGACATGCTCATCCCCGATACCTGGTGCATCTTTAGCATGTGTCCTGGATAGCATCATTGCTGAAGTCCAGCCAAAAATCTCTGCAGATCTCTGTTTTGCCAGCTGCTGTTGGATACTGAAGTAGGGAGCAGAGTCTCCCTCACCCTCCTTAAAACCAGTCAGGCCCGGCCACCGCATCCTGCCGCACACTCAGCTCGGGGCGAGGAGTCACAGCCACCCACAGGGACCCACACTGCGCAGGCAGCTCTCAAGCCCTTACCAGCCCTCTAGGTGACATCCTCATTTCCTACAAGCTTCCCCTTAAGCTCCCGAATCCCCCCTCGACAAGATGCGGCGTCAGCTTGGCGTGGGTATCGCATCCCGGGTGCCTGCGGTACCCAGTCCACTCGCCGCCCTGATTAGGAAGCCTCTGGGTCTCTGCGGCTGCGGTATTTTTTGCAAAAAAAACC